CCTAGTGGGGCTGTGCACCTCCTAGATAAGGTGACTCCTGTAAAACAGCCAGGAACCTATGCGAGCGGTCAGACCTGGCTGTCTGCTCCTCCCAGCAAATGTCCGCGTAGTTTAGGTCACCCATGACAATAACATCCCTTGACCTAACCGCCTCCATAAGCTGACTGGCGAAGTCCCGGTCCAGCTCCTCCCCCTGGTTGGGTGGTCTGTAGTGGACACCCACTATAAGGTCCCTTTTGCCACGCCCCCCATTTTTGTTTGACACACAGCGTCTCCTCCTGACCCTCCTCTAACCCAAAGCTAATCCTTGATGTTGTGAGGTACTCTTTGACATAGAGCGTGACCCCCCCACATTTCCTCTCTGTCCTGTCACTTCTATATAGTCTGTATCCCTGAAAGTCCACAGCCCAGTCGTGGATGGGGTCCCACCAGGTTTCTGTGAGCCCTACTAAGTCTGGATTCTTACTCGCAATCAGAAGGCACAGTTCCTCCTGCTTGTTCCCCATACTACGAGCATTAGTGTAGAGGCACTTGAGGCCTCCTGAGTGTGCACGTGCCTCCCTCCCACTCACAGGATAGTTGTGGCCCCCTACTCCCAGGACATTGTTGCTTACCTGGGCATCTCTTTCTCTTGTCACCCTGCATGCTGGTGAAGCATCCTTTCCACTTGGAGCGGCCCCTTCCTTCCTCAAATAGGACCTGATAAATCATGACTTGCTAGTTGTTGCTGTGCCACATTTAGGACAGGAACAAGCCTTAGCTATTGGCTAACTGACACTATGCAGTAGGGGTGCAACAGGGTTCACTCAGCATAAAACAGCTTGGAAGGGCACTGAAGGGACATCTCATTAAGTGACTTTCAGGAAAAGAATCATAAGAGACACCTGTGGGTTTAACCTTGAAAGCTTTGGCACAAGCCATCTTTTCCACTGTGCTGCAAGAGCTAACTTACACACTTCAAAGCACACAAAAGACATTAAAATATAAAAACACTAAACATTTAACGCTTTCATTGTTCATAAACCAACCTTCAGAACAAAAGCAAACAGAATCTGCAGTTCTGAAATAATACCAATCAAATTCTATTAATAAAAGTTTCCTTACATAGTAACCAAACTGTTGTATTCCAACAATGCATTAAAGAGCCTTCACAGAAAGAAAAATCCCAATATAATACGTACCTAGAACAATTCCCTTATGAACCAAACCTTTTTACTGAACTCCATTCCACATGTACCCTACTTTAAGGGCCCAATTCTGCAAATGCACATTCAGTCACTTCGATCCCAAGTCACTCATGTCTTTTGTGGGATTAGAAACTAAGTATTGTTGTTTTCCCACCTCTCCCTCCTGTCAGTATATGTTGGATCAGAGGTCACAACATGCCTGATTTTGTTTTCCTAATCTCTCATAATCTGTTTAGTTGCAAAGTCTCTGTTGTACAATATCATGAGAACACATTAAAGAGGAAAAGTTAGATGTGCAAGGTACAGCTGTTTTATTAGAAGTCAGGCTCCATTGTTTACAACCAAAACCTTACTGTGAATTGCCTCAGTAAATCTGAATATTAACAACAGTGTTAAATTATATAAATAACTGATCTCATACCTGCACATCATTGCTAAATTATACAACTTCTATAACCAAGTCATGCCACTACTATTAAGTCTTCATTCACCAGAGCAGTTGGCATGCATTTCAATCCTTTACTGAACTGAAGCATCAGTTTTTTCAAAATCACCTTCCTACCCAGAGGATAATCCACCAACTTTTTTTTATTAGAAGAAAGCAATGTTTACATTGTAACTCCTTATAAAGCACACCTCTGGACAACACTGAATGTAAAGAAGGATTTACACACACTGGCTTTGACAAGTTGCATGGATTGATACATGAAAATGTCATTGCTGGATTCAACTGGTAGACTGACCTACTGGTGAACTTGAGGAAGCATGAAAGATCAAAGCAGGCTAACCAGCACCCTCTACAGTCACTCATTTTATTTGGTATTGACTAGGGATGTAAAAGGTTAAATGACTAATTGTTTAACTGATAAGTCCAGTGATAACTGGTTAAAGGTTACTGGTTATCGTTTCCTGTGAGGCTGGATGAGTCTGGCAGGGAAGGGGGGCGGGGCGGGGAATGGAAGCTGCAGAGCTCCAAAAGGAACCAGAAGGTCGCTGGGCAGGCAGGAGGGAGGGATGGAGGAGCAAGGCAGAGGAAGGGGGAAGGGAGGAATACATACAGGCACTCCTCAGACTTAAGACGCAATTGGTTCCTTAAAACCATATCTTACGTTGAAACTTCGTAACTTGGAACCAATTTCCCCATAAAAAGTGTTACAAATGGGGGATTGGCTCCTTTACAACGGTCAATACTGCATGCAGCTGGTAAGTGGTGGAAGGGGAGGTGGAAGGGAAGAGGCATGGTGGGGGGCAGATCAATGTGGTGAGGAAGGGACAGGGAGGCGGCAGCTCCCTCCACTGCATGTGGCTTCTCTGGTGGCTTGATTGGTTGTTCCCACTGCTGGTTCAGGAGGGCATGGGGGGCGTGTGCCCCTGGACCTGCGCGGGGTGGGGTCG